AACGTTCTGGCCCTCTGGCCACGGGTCCCACCTGTCAGGAATAGCTCGAATCGTAAAGCACAATCCTCTGATGCTATGCTCTGCCGCGGCACGGGCGCTACCGCGCTAGTCGTCTGCCTGACTGTCCCCCGGGCCCCGGCTCGCCGCCGCCGCTCCGAGCCTCCGACACCTGGGCGTAATCGATGACTCCATTGTCTCCGTCGATACTACCGATCAGAAAAGTTAGGGAACAAGATGCAGCTAACTAGGGCTACCTTTGTTTGTGGGTACTGTAAGTTTGTAACTTCTGAGTTGCAGTTTGCGTGTTTTGACAATCAATTCGTTTATTTGGGCTGCCGAGTGCCGAGTCACAGCGGCTTTTGGTGCTTCGATTGCGTGTTTTGTCATCCAGGGAACTTTGAGCATTTCAGGACAGAGAAGATATCAACTCTGAATATCTTGCTGGTTGGTAATAATCTGTGTGTGCGATTAATCCTGCTGTGCAGTGTCCTTCTAGTTTGAAGCATACTCATTCCCAGATAGACGGGTCGAGGAACGAAATCAAAGAACGTGGTTTACCAGAGGTTTTTACATGGTCGAATCAAAAATGATCCCGCGTACTCAGAACAAAGATGACGTTTCTTGGTCGACGGTTGATGCCTTAGATCTCATTCTCAGTGACTATAGTTTGAAGAAAATTTGGTTGTGGTTTGATCATACCGATCAAGGTTTTATAACTGAAACCTGAAGAATTTCAGACTCAGCTCAACATTTTGCGCGACTGTTGTGTTTGAATTTGACAGTATGCCATCAGATAGTTTTGTGTTGCTTTTCAGATGATGGACTTTAACCTGGAACTGAAAGCATTTAATCCAGAGGACTTCAAGGTTTTGATGCAGGCGTCCACAACAAGATACCGTTCACTTATCCTCTTATTATGACTCGAAGGGCACTTCGTTCAGTCTTCGGTACCTTCAAACGCTGCTTAATGAACTTCACTTTATTCTTTGTTGTTGAAAAAGGGAACTGTCAAAGATAACAACAGAGGCTTTTGTGAAACTGAAACAACTATAAAAGGTTATGTTTTAATTTTTATCATTTTGATGAAAGTTATCTAAGAGAAGTGCGGCAGAGGAGTGAGCTGTAATCCAGCAAAATGGTCGTGGCCTCTACAAGACGAGCGTATTCTGTGACGTCAACTAAGAGCATCTTCAACACTTCCTAATAAAGCCTCACAATCTAATATTTTTAGCAAGAATTCCACCTTTCAATCTTTTGGGACTTGAAAAAAATAATCTTTCACGCACGTATCGATCTCCCAATCTAAAGTGGAAGGGAGTAGAAAAGAATAAAGAGTAGGAAAGGGTTCTTGATGCAAATGTATAAGAAAAAAAATATAAAAAGTAGTTAGGATAATTTAGAAATAGTATAAGATTTTTGATGTAAATTTGTCTTCTATATTTTAAGAGTGAATTGCTGAAAACTGTTGGACATGGTTTTATTTATTCCTCCTAATATTTTTTGCAAGTTGGAGAACTCCATGGTTTTTGGAAAGAAATTTGTTCGCTCCCTGTGGGCAGTGTTTAGAGATGCTCTAATGTAACCTGGTGGTAGAGTGCATGTTTTAGTGGTTAACCTTCTATGTATTTTAGATTCGGACTTGCTAGCGCCCGGACGTCTGATCCGGACGCTAGCCTCTGAACGCTGCCCACAGGGAGCGAATGAGCACCTAGCGTGTTGGGCTCACGAGGGAGCGCACCAGTAGTGGTCCCGCGCTGCTTCGGACGTCGCCCACACTGCCCCGAACATCGTCCGCGCCATCGGCCGCTTCCCACGCGCAACCCATGTGCAACACCCGATCTACTTTTGAAACATCTAGGTATAGCAGTTGCAACATACAAAAGAAGACAGATGAAACACTTGAAACAAGCGTCTGAAACACTTGCAAAACGTCTGAAAAAAAACATTTAAAACCATTGCAAACATATGCAACATCCAGATGAAACACTTGCAAACATACGTATGAAACACCTGAAAAACACTTGAAATATATGCTTGCAGCATGCATGTATATGCAACATCTAGATCTACTTTTGCAACATCCAGACAAAACACTTGCAACATTGGTTCGGAACAGATGAAAATATTTGGAACATACACTTGAAACATATGTGTATAGCCATTACAACATGTGCAACATCACGATCTACTTTTGCAACATCGATATACAACACTTGCAACATATATTGGAAATATCTGAAACACTCAAACATACTATTGCAACATACGCTTTCAGCGTAGCATCTGTTTGCTGCTTGGACAAGCTCGTTGACGTGAAGCTCGACACCAGCACGGAGCTCGAAGCCAGAGTGGCGTGGAGGTCGCCGGTGTGGAGCTCGTCGGCGGCACGAACCTCGGTAGGGACAGGGGCAGACGGATGGAGCATGGCCGCGACGGGAGGTGCGAGTCCGGGAGCGAGCTAGCGAGTGGGGGCGGTGCGGGCGACGCGGAGCGTTTCGGTTCTAGATTTCTTTTCTGTCACTTTAGGCCCGTTCTGTTGCTTCCTGAAAAATACTTGAGTTCCAAACAAAAAGAACTAAGATGGTAATGCATAAAAGGATTATTGAGAACCACATTGTTGTAGCTTAACCTACAATTTAATACCATTGTCAAGTACCATTACTTCATAATCATGGGGCACTCAGGAGATAAAAAGTCCATTGCGCATTGGATTGAGAAGGAAAGGTACAAGCAATTAACACGCTAGTACGTCATGTTGTTTGGTTCGTGTCACATTACTAAAAGCTGAGTACATGTGTCCCTGATCCATATTAAGGACACAATGAGCACTCTGCAGCTTGACCTACAAATTAACCTTGGTGTGGGCTATCACTTTTTAATCACTACAATAACATTAATGTCCATAGGCTCAAAGGAATGAAAGGGAAATGCACCGAGACACTCAGCGCATCACTACATCATGCGGGGTTAGGTCCGCGTCCAAAATTCAGAAAAATCATGTTCATGATTGAAATTATTGGCTCTAGACAAGCATGATTAATGGGTTAATCTTGATCTGACTATTAACAACTAGCCCTGACGTCGTGATATCCTGAATTCTGACCTCCATATATATGTTTCCAAAAACCAATTCATGCATCACCATTAGCTCAATAGGTGGTAATAATGCAAGTATATTATTCCTATTTCTGGCTAATTGTATCAGCTCCATTTGGGGTTGAAATGAAGCAACAAATTTCATTTTACTGAATAATCAACATCTTTGTTTTGTGTTTTATGAGTTTGTGGTACGCCTACCAAAGGAGTCATCCTAGGGGTTAGCACCACAAACCTAGTGCCACTTTTTAGCTACAAACAAGGTGGTCCCAGTGGGAAAAGATTATTGCCATTTTCCTTGCAAAAGAGAGGTGATTCTAGAGTAGCTAAGCTTATAAGAAAGATTAATTTTGTGCTAGCGCCGTGAATATCTACTCAAGAAATGGGGGGAAGCTATCATGAATTATTTTTCTTATTAGTCTGATCAGATAAACCAGTTAATACCAAGCTCAAAAATATCCAATCCTTACCACATCTATTGATCAGACTAGTCAGAAAACTCCAGTTTCTAATAATTAACTTATTATCCTTACTGCCTACAATCCAGTAACTAACACAGGATACTGCAAGAAGGCAAAAAACACAATAAAATATCCACAGTTCCACACGTTTCTAAGACCCAAAGATTGATTTGCATAGATCTTATCCAGAGCTTTCACAATAATTTGATATTGAGTAAATTAAAGCAACTACTATCCGGTCCTCTAAACATGTTTTGAACAAGAAAATATGCTCATAAGCTACTAATAGGGGATTAACTCAAAGACTATGTAAGGCAGAAGATATTGGAATTTGGAAAAGGGCAGAGACCCAAAGAACAGGTCCACGCGTTCCATGAGAAAGCTAGTTACTAACTTTATCTTGTAAAAATATTCTTTGCAGAGAAGACGTATTCATCAGCCCCCTCGAGAAAAAAGATATCTCCAAACCATACTGAATACTTTTCAGATCACATATATATAGTCACTAACTTTTATCTCGGAAAACGATTTGGACAGCAAAATATATATGGGCATGACCTGGCTCCCTTCAGAAATAAAATATGTGCATGAACTACTGACTGATAAGTAAGATTAAGAGTAGATCACACAGAAGGGGTAGGTTAGAACTTTGTTGGCTCCACCTTTTGCTAAGAATTTTTTAGTGTCCTGAAAGCGCCATTTTTTTTATACGAGAAGCAAAGCTTCCTCTCTCCTTACCTTAAAAGACTTTATGCCCTCAAATCCACGGTGCTTCTCTCCTCTGCCATTTGGAACCTTGGAGTTCATGCTCATCCAATCCAATGAGTAATTCTGTGGCGAAGCAGACGACAAAGGGAAGGCTCTCCTTCCCTCGTCAACATCAGAAATGGGGCGTTACACGCTTCAGTGTGCATCAATATATCTATGGTTGTTCCTCAGTGACGGTTACGATGCGGCGCAGCTGCTTTTGGGTTCTGATCAGGTGCGGTGTATGCAGTGTACCTTAGAAGAGATCCTTTTCTGCTCAGCTAATCCCTCACAATATATCCATTGCCCAATCAACGTTGCATTTAACACATTGTCCTGTCACCCTGTGTTCACATAGAAGATTGATCACCTCCGATTAATCACATATCCGGCTTTTAACTGCTCGATACCTTTTTTTGAAATATCTAACCAGGACAGTTAGTTCGGTGTGATGCCACACTTTACCAACCTACTCCTCCTCGTCCGGAATAATATAGCGGTAAAAGATGAAAACTGAAAATGGCATTGTTTTTTTGAGGAAACGAAAATGGCTTGTTTAAATTAAAGTGCAGATTAGCGCATCAAGAATTCAAGATGTCTTGTCTCAACAGCTCACTTGCTTGCTTGGAGCAAATGTTTGTTTGCAGCGCAACACGGCTCCAAGAAAAGGTCGCCGAAATTTGCGTTGTCGTTCTCATGCCAGGTCGGTCTGTGTGCTCTAGCAGTGAGGTGACTATGGGACATGGCTCCATTTGTCACCCGGCCCCGGCCAAGGGCTGTGCCTTCTCTTCAACAGCACTCATCCCGACTCCACTCCACGGTCAATTTCCTCACGTAAGCCAAGCAGGGACAGTGGGGTGATCCTGAAGAAACCTGCAGCTCCATATAATCCCAACCACACCGCCTCGTTTGGATGTGCAGTTCGTCTTCCTCTCCTGAGTCCTGATTAGGTGAGAACAGAGGACAGTGCTAGCGCTATAGCGGCTAGAGGTGTAGCTATAGCTTGTGGCAGCATTGACGGAGAGAAAGAAATGGGTAGCTTGGGAGAGGTTGATCATGCCAAGGAGATGTTCCATGGCCATGGCCATTCTGATCCTGTTGTCGACGAGCTCAACCGTCTGCAGAATCTCCTCAGAGGTTTGTTTATGTTTTACATAGCACATATGCATGCATATATGATCGTCACTAGACCAAGACTGATCGATGAACCCGTCGTCGTCTCAGTTAGGCTACACTTTTCTTCCATAACAAACACTGATGCTGCTGCATTGCACCATTACAGATCGTGCTAGTATGTAGTCGTATGATGTGTGCAAGTGCTGCAGTGCAACTATAAACACGTTGAATTTTGCATACTTCACCTCTTATTACTAGTTTCAGCTATCGATTTGCGAGCACCAAATAAACTCTCATGTCCTAGTTTGTGACCAGGAGCCCCCCCGTTGGCCGAGCCACCAAGGCGAGGAAGAACATATGCACCATGCAGATCTTTTCTTTTATGACCAAGTCTTATAGTTAGGTTAGAGCCTGGGAAGAAGCGGCTTTCACCTCTGTGAAAAAGGCTAATTAAAACAAGCAGGGCACTATTCTAATTAACTCATGTGTGTGACTGTCTTGGGAAAATATACGAGTTTACCTAGCTGATTAGCGATCGATCGAACTGCCTGAGGCCCTGTTTGGTTAGTGTGGATTCCCCCTTGAATTATTCCAGATGATGAAAACTTATACAAATTAGAGAAGCAATCCTATCAGGAATTATTCCAGGGAGCAGATCCATGATAACCGAACGAGCCCTGATGCATCTGTATGAATGAACTCGCTTAATTTATTCCAGGGAAAAGACTACAGGTGTGTTATATTAAAAATATCATATGCCATACCAGCTCACCTGGATTACTCTTTAATATAGCTATTGAAATTAACTTAGAAGTGCTCTGACAAGGGTGCCGCATGCTGAAAATAATTTTTGGAATAAAGATGCATAAATATTAGCTATTATATATGTTTCAGAGAAAAATTCAATTGTACTCTAGAAGTAATATCATTTTATCCACACACAAAAAAAAGGCTTATCTTGCATGTTTTTAGATGTACTAATCAACTTTAATAGGATGAAACTACCTTTTCTACTGTACAGAAGGAAACACACAAAGAGTGGTACAAGTAACCGCATTCTTGTAGGTAGGTGGAGAGATTTGCTCAGATTCTAAGTAACAGGTGTGACCAAACCTTGGAAAATTTCAGTGCATTTGTGGTTGGTAGGACGTCAAGGAATCGTACGGAGACTAAGCATGCATAGTTGGTAGGGTGTCTATATTAGCGCCCATTTTAATTGGCCCTTTCTAATTTCTATTAAATGTGACCGGCCGAAAGCATAGTTTGTAGCTTAGTTATCATCAAGAACTAAGGACAGTTGTGTCTGTTGACAGCCGAGTTTAACCCTTTTTACAATAATGGATTCACCCAGTCTCTTTTCTTAATTATTGTACTGCAAGAATGAACCATCGTGTCTAACTTTACTTTTTTATAATAATAGCCGTACTCTGACATTAAAAAAGCCCAGAAACTCTTTTTACAAATCTTTAGTTATGACATGTATCATTCAACCACTTCACTTTTATCAAATTACTTTTCAGTCACTCCAAAAGGATGGTGAAAGAAATTTTGTGGACCTTAGACAGAAGATTTTTTCTAAAAAATATTTATAGAAATACAAAAAGGTGGCTGTCGTGTCTATTTGAAACTAATGTTTGGTGTTTATTTCATTCAGAAAAGGAAAGGGAGTTAGGACATGCATACAGTGAAATCAAAGGCTTGAAGGTGACGGAAGCTCTGAAGGACAAGGCTATTGCTGAGGTAATTTTCTCAACATAGCTTCTAGCTTGAGTTTATTTCCTTTGAAAAGGGTAAGCATGACTCCAATCATTCTTTAAAAGAGAGGAGTATATATCTTAAAAGTTACATCACCCGCCAAAGGTGGACACTCGAGAAGGAAATACACGAGACACATATGCAACATCCAATCAATCAAATCTTAGGCCTCACCACTAAGCAAATTCTATAGTCTGAGTAGAACGTGCCATCCTTATTCGACGGTGCAAGACCCAAGATGACGGATTGTGTTTGCGTTATTCATAGGTCAACCAACCCCACTAATAGCCCTTCCCCTACCTCCACCGGCGGCCAGTGACTCCCACTGCATCGCCGTGCCATTGCCTCTTCCTACCCCAACCTCCACTAATTAACGACTCACAATGTGACACCTCTGGCCCCCTATCATCAGCTCTGGTGGAGAACTCACCACCTTATCGCCAGTCGAACTATGGTCCATTGTCATTTTCAACCGCCACTCCCAAACCGCCTTCTAGGACCACAGCGATAGGAATTCCTCAAGAAATTCTAGAGCCCTAACCCTAGGCACTAATGACGCTCTGTGCTAACCATGGTCAATACTTTAATTTCGAATCTTGATGCAACAACTAATATATATGACAAAGGCGGTACCTCCCACCCCGACTACTAGAACCATCGTAGACTAAGAAAACACCTAGCTACTCAACTACTTGCCATCCCTTTTGCTTGAATTCCTTTGCATTGTGCGTTGCAAGTTAACTTCCAATTCCACTGAAAAGTGAATGCAACTTCAAATAAAGATGCCTAATCGTTAAACTACTAATGTTACTCCATTTTCTATAGCTGAGCAAGGAACTGAAGAAACAGGACGAGAAGATGAGAAGTTTGGAGAAACAGCTTGAGCAGAAGGTCAATTGTCTCCATCAGTCTTGGTTTCAATGTCCTTTTAGATCTTACTATATATCATTTTCGTAACAAATCTATTTGATTTGGCAGAATTTAGAAGTCAAAAGACTAAACAATGAGCGCAAAGAAGCATTGTCTGCACAATTCGCTGCAGAGGCAACACTTAGAAGGATACACTCTTCTCAAAAAGATGAGGAATCGGTTCCATTCGATGCCATCATAGCACCCTTGGAGTCAGACATAAGAAAATATAGACATGAGGTAAGTATGAACACATAATTTCACCATCAAAGCCACAAATAAAACTTTGTAGTTTACTTGAATTAGAAAATACAAACATGAGGTAGGTTGAACACACATTTTCACCATCAAAGCCACAAATAAACTTACATGGTTTACTTGACTTTTTTTGTGTATGGTTGCTTTTTCTAGATTGCAGTGCTCCAAGATGACAAGAAGGCATTAGAACGACATCTAAAGTTAAAGGAGATGGCGCTCGTTGAAGCAGGCAACATTTTGCGTAGCGCGCTTGAGAGGGCACTAATAGTAGAGGATGTTCAGAATCAGAACATTGAACTGAAGAAACAGATGGAGATATACCATGTATCTACACTACCTGACCTTTATGTGTGTGCTTTTGCAACATTATGGAACTAATTCTTTTTCTTGTAATGTGTATGCAGGAAGAGAACAAATTGTTAGAGAAGGCTAACAGACAGAAGGTGCTAGAGGTCGAGAAGCTCACGCATACCATTAGTGAACTTGAAGAGTCCATTCTCGCAACTGGCGAGGTTGCCAATGCAGTGCACTTCTATCAGAATCAAGCTACCAAGTTGAATGTACATGCAAAACCTGTGCTCAAGTAATTCAGATGTTGGATTCCACCAGTTTCTTAGTCATTTATAAGATGTTTAAAATTTTAGGAGGAAAAGAGGACCCTTGAGAGGGAGTTAGCTCGAGCCAAGGTTTATGTCAATCGTGTCGCATCGACAACAGCGAATGAATGGAAAGACGACTCTGACAAGCTGATGCCAGTCAAGAGATGGCTAGAAGAACGAAGGCTCCTGCAGGTACCGTACGGAGTCATATTTGAAATGATGACCATTGGCCTGATGTTGTTACAAATATTGTACATGGTGAAGTAACAAATTAACAATCATGTAGGGAGAGATACAACGACTACGTGACAAGATAACAATAGCAGAGAAGTCCTCAAAGATTGAAGCCCAGCTTAATGTAAGCAAGCTAGTGTTTACATATAAAGTAACTATTTCAACCAATTTAAATCAACCAAATCTTAAAGTATATTTTCTCTAATTTTGGTTTGTTTCCTAGGACAAACTCAAAAGGAGGCTTAAGTCACTCGAAGATGACATGAGAAATGAAACATCCAACTCATCTACAAAGGAAATTAACAAACAAGACACTCCCAAAAGATCAACGTCTCAACCAAAGCAACACAAAACAGTGAGAGTGTTGCCTCAACCATATTCACATGAAGCCATTGATAGGAGAAGGCCTATATCTCAACCAAGGACATCAGTGGCAGGGAAAGTATTGAAGCAACCTAATTCAGAAACCAAACCCATAGAGAAAACTAGAGTTGTGAAGCGATTTGATAGCCCTAGAGCGAGAACGGTTTCTAGTAAAGGCGAGTGTCCCATAAAAAATCAACTATGGGCATCAAAAGGCAAAATGGATGTTGTTGCTGGGAAAGAGAACAAAGTACAAAACCCAAATTCAAAGACATGTTTGAATGTTTCACATTCACAAGGGCATGCAGACACAAAAGTGTTTGATGGAAATGATGAATATGGAATTCAAAGTAGCGAACATCATGAAGCCATGGAGAATGAGAGAAATGGGGTTAGCTCCAGTGATGAAAGTAGCCCTTAGAACAACAACGCAAGTTGGGGTGTTGGGGTTTTACTTTTGCATGAGGACACATAATGGAAGGGAAAATAACATTATTATGTACAGGTAAATGTCATAAATTCACCTTTGTATGCTTGGTACTTCTTGGATAATTTATTTACTAGTTGTCTTTGAAGCTAATGTTTCCTTTTCCTTTTCTTCTAGGACCATGGAAGTTGAACAAATGCTTCCAAACATTTTGCATAAACATTATGGCACCTAAAATATTTTTCTAATTTTTTTTGTTTTCTTTCTTTCTTTCATTCAGATGCTACATGACTTGTTTGAAAGGGAGTGTGCACCCATCTACAGCTAATTTATTCTGTCTGGGTGATTGCTTGAACAACAACACTAGTTGCGGTGTCATCATCTTGTCTTGTTTATTATATGTTCTCTTGTGTAGATATAAGCTATACCTCAAAGTCTATAAATGTAATTTTGTGTGACTGTTGAAAGAAAAGAAATCAATTTGTGCTCCTTTTGAGGAATTGGTTATTTTGTCAAATCAAAGGTGCTGCTAATGTAATGGAAGCAGAAGAAAAAGAAGTGAAGATTGTGAATGAATAAAACCATGGATGTTGTTGATTCCCATTAGCTACTCTCATTTGTAATTCCGTGTTTCAGTATGTCATATCCTACTTACCTACCTACCTACCTACCTTTGAGTTCCATTTAATACAAAGACACACAAATCCAAATGTATAAGAGTTTGAGTACTAATAAATTAAGAATTTATCTAGATTTGTTATGCGAATGATGTAATAAGTAAATAACAATCTAAATTGTCACAATATCATTTTTTGATTCAATTGTTGTGAAAGGATCAAGATGCCCAAGAGGGGGGTTGAATTGGGCTAATTCTAAAATTCTTTACGATAATTAAACCCTACACTTAGCCCACTTCACCCCTTGTACCTAGAAAGTGATTCTAATGATCTACCACACAAAAGTTTAGCACCCTAAGTTCTAATTCTACTCTAGTATGGAAATTCTAAGAATGTAAAGACAAGAATTGAATTGCTCAAAAGTAAATGCTTAAAGTAAAGAGAGGAGAAGGAACGCGGCGATGTTTTGCCGAGGTATCGGAGAGTCGTCACTCCCCACTAGTCCTCGTTGGAGCACCCGCGCAAGGGTGTAGCTCCCCCTTGAGTTGGGTCATCCACAAGCTCCGCCGAATGATCACCAAACTCCCAATCACCATCAAGCCGTCTAGGTGATGGCGATCACAAAGAGTAGCAAGCAAGAACTCTCACTTGACCACAACAAGCCTAATGAGAAGGATGGATGCACACTTGCTACTCTCTTTTCACTAATGAGGCCTTAATCTTGGATTCTCAAATCGCAATCACCTCACTAGGCTCTTGCTCTCCTTGGCACTTTCAAGGATGTTTCTTAGCTGTTTAAATGGGCAAGAGTACCCCCTTGAATGAATAGAGGAAGTATTTATAGCTTCTCATTCAAAATGAACCGTTATGTGCTTGAGTCAGCACCCTGTGGGGTGACTGGACGCTCCGGTCAGTTCTCCCCGCCACAGAGCCGTTAAGTTGTGACCGGACTCTGACCTGCGTCCGGTTAGCACTGACTAGACGCGTTCGATCACGAAAACTGCTCTCTCGAACCTTACTGATGTTGACCGAACTCTGGCACCCAGCGTCCGGTCACATTGCTGTTCAGCGTCCGGTCAGTAACCGGAACCTGACCAGCGTCCGGTCAGCACTGACCGGACGCGTCCGATCAGGATTCTCCCTCTCTGGAACCTTACTGGAGTTGACCAGACTCTGACACCTAGCATCCGGTCACATTGCTGTTCAGCGTCCGGTCGACTTCACTTGATCAAATGAACTGACCGGACTCTACTGCCAGTGTCCGGTCACACCAGGACCAGCGTCCGGTCAACATTTGACCCTCTATTCACTTACAACTCGAAATCATATGTGAATGAAGTTTTCTCCAATTGATGTTAGGGCTACTTAGGAGCTACCTAGTGCTAGATTTGACAAGTGTGCACCACACCTAACCCACTAAACTCACATAGGTCAAGCTACTAGTCCATATCCCCCTTAATAGTACGGTCAAAGAAAAAACAAAGTCCTAAACTACTCTAAGTGTCTCTTCAACACCAAATGACACTTAGAACTAGTCCATCCTTAATTTTGTCATCCATCATTTGAAAACCGAAATGATTTCTATCATAGGGGCATGACAACCATGATTGCACAATCAATTGTCATTACCATGACCTAACTTAATTGCCTCTGCAAAACATATGTTAATCATAGTAATCTCGTATTGTCATTAATCACCGAAACCCAACTATGTGCCTAGATGCTTTTATGTTGTATAGTTAAGAAATCAAGAATTGCTTTTCTAGAATGTTCCTTTTTATTTAATGATAAAAAAGGTTAAATTAAATTAAGTTTTGTAGTTTTTTTGTAAAAATAATATTTATAGGCGTGGCATGATGTATATCCACATTTGGCATGCCTTTCCATCCATATTTGGATTGCTTAAATGTTCGAACTAAGCAAAAATAAATTAATAATAAAGATTTCATGAGTTAATTTTCATTCCTTGAAAATGAGTCGCCTTTTTTTACTCAGGAGCCGCCCTTTCTCCCACCTGACGCAATTGCTATCCCGCGCCTACGGTAACACAGGAGTAGGGGACTATCGTTATGGTTTTTTTATAGACCAATTTCTTAAAGCGGACTAGTCCCAAACTCCTCATAAAAAGTTCCTTTTTCTGCATTTGTATTTGCTCTATTCGCATTCCAAAATTCGCCCAAAAACCGTTATAGCTCGATGAGCCTTAACATTCTTTGGGCTCATGGCCCAAGCATGACAAGCATACTATCGCTAGTCACTAGCCCACATGCTTGCTCCCCCCTACCGCATGGGGGACGAGTCTGTTTGGCCTATGCAGTTGGCCCATATACACGGCTCTCTCGAGGCTCGTTTGCTTCTCTCGCTCTCCCATGGCGGCTGCGACGGAGGCAGGGGCAGCCGCCGCCGTATCCCTGATCGCCTGCTACCTCCTCCTCCACAAGAGTATACCCAACCTCCCGTGGGTCCCAACGGTTGGGTTCTCCCACGCGAGCGGCTGACGGGCGCGACGGAGGGGTCTCATGGAGGCCATCGGCAACACACCTCTCATTCGCATCAACAGCCTCTCCGACGCCACAGGATGCGAGGTACGCGCGTGGAATCTTACTTATGTTGCTCCGCTTTGATGTTTTGAGTAAAGTTTGGAGGCAGTGAATAGTGTTTCAAGTAAAGTTTGGAGGTAGTGAATTGTATCGCTCTCCCTCCGGTTGCAGATTCTGGGGAAGGCTGAGTTCCTGAACCCGGGTGGCAACATGAAGGACCGCGTGGTGGTTAAGATCATCGAGGAGGTAATTCTGCCATCCTGTTTAGATAGGATATGGTTATTATATGGGAGGGTTAGAACTGCAAAATAAAGGTTGTGGTGAGAAGTTGCAGAACTGGACTATTGGTACTTGAGATACTTTGAGCATGTAGATATTCGCTGAAAGATTGACTTGATCCTTTTCATTTCTGGTGCAAGCAGCCCACACAACCTTATATGTCCAGCAACCCACACATCACACAACCTGATATGTCCAACTCAAAATGTTCCACTATGTATAACTATTTCCTATTTAATAGTTTATAAGTTTATTGAGTCATGAAATCCTTGTGATATAGTAATCTCTTGTCCTGGTATATTATTATTTATCCTTTACCTTCATTTACAGTAGTGCTGTTATCATTCCCAGGCTCTAGAATCTAGAGACCTCGTATATGGTGGTACCGTAACAGAGGGGAGTGCTGGAAGCACAGCTATGATGCAGTGTTTTTCTCTCAGCCATGTTTATCAGCCATGATACAGTGTTTTTCTCTCACAACAAAACAACATCAGCCGACTTATAAGCCAAAGAAACGATCAAGCAAACAGGGTGAATTAGCTTGGCTACTGTTGCTCCTGCCTATGGTTGTAGGTGTCATGTTGTAATCCCCCATGATGCTGCCATTGAAAAGGTAGAAATTTTATAACCTATCTAATAATTTGTTTTGCTTCCTACAACATTTTATCTTGTAGCATCTGGAACTGCATTTATAATGACCATCTGGTGTGCTGAATTGTGCTAGATGCTTTACTTGAGTATTTCTGCTAGGACTGTAACATACTATTTGCTTTAGTTCCATGTGATAGTTAAGCCTAACTGCTTGTATCTTACTTTCCTATTTTTACTATTCACTATATAAGTGTTTTCGGGTGGCTTAGCACCCAAGTTTGGTATCTGCTTTATGCAGCAAAATATGCTAGAGTAGGTAAGAGTAGGAAAAGCCACTTTGCTATATAAGCAGTGGCAGACCATCTTGTATTCCAAGTCTCGCAATTTCAGTTTCAATCCAAGCGGCCTAGTGGCCAAGCTGCCCTCTGGGCTTACCCAAATCTGAGATCCATTTTCATCTCTGGGCAACAATTGGTATCAAGAGCCTAAGGTTCTAGTGAGTGAGCGCCATGTCCACCGAGAGCCAGATCGCTAGAGTGCGCGCCGCCGCCGGAGGAGGAGCAGTGATCAATCCTGATGGTGATGGTGCGCAGCAGGTGCCAGAGCTGGTGACCGCGCGACGTGCCTTGCTGCCGCAGAGGCAACGGCTGCGGCGACGGTCGAGATGACCAAGCAGGCAGCAGATGCGGCTTAAGCCGCGGTAGTTGCCGCTGCAGCGCTACGCGCGGAGATGGAGTGGGAGGAGCCAGAGCCAGCGGGAGGAGGATCGCGCAGCCCAATCGGACGCTGCCGCCAGTCGCCATCACCAGAGCGGTGTCGTGGTCGTCGTGGGTGTTCCCCGGTGCTGCAGACCGTCTACCACGATGCTGGAGCGGGGATGTCATGGCCGATGCTCACCAAATCCAACTACCACGAGTGGAGCCTGCTGATGAAGGTCAAGCTTCAGGCACGGCGGCTCTAGGAGGCGGTCCACGTAGGCGGCGTCGACTATGACAAAGATCGCCGGGTGCTGGAGGCCTTGTGCGCTGCCGTCCCCACCGAGCTCGGCGCGTCCCTTGCCAACAACGCAACGACGAAGCTGGCGTGGGAGGCGATCGCCGCGGCGAGCATCGGTGGTGATCGTGTACGCTGGGCGACGCTGCAACGGCTTCATGGGGAGTGGCAAGCCCTTGCTTTTTAGCCTAGAGAACAAGTCAAGGATTTTGCTCTTCAGCTGACCAACCTGATGGAGCAGATGGCGCGCAACGGCGACACCGACCTCACGGAGGAGCGCGTGGTGGAGAAGTTTCTTCGCTGCATGCCAAAGAGGTATGCGCACATCGTCATGTCGATCACGACGCTCCTCGATTTTGAGCAGCTCTCTGTGGAGGATGTCACCGAGAGGCTCAAGGCAGTTCAAGACCACGAGCAGGCGCTGAATTCTGAGCCGAGCGTGGTCGGAGGCAAGCTGTTGTACATTGCTGAGCAGTGGTAGGCCTTCGAGAAGAAGAAGGAGGAGGATGGCGCTGGATCATCCAAGGACCATCGTCGGTGTCCCTGTGATGGCAAGAAGAACAAGCCCAAGGGAGATCACGACGGCGGAGGACAAGCGGACAAGGCAGGCACCACTGGTGGTGAACACAAGGCAAACCGCGACGACACCTGCCTCAACTGCAATCGCGTTGGGCACTGGGCCAGGGATTGCCCCTATCCCCGGCATGAGCGTGGCGACGCTGCGAATGTCGCAGAAGCAGAGGAGGCTACTCTGTTTCTCGCGCATGGGTTCCTGGAGCTGGATGCGAACGGGAGCAGCGACAAGGCACAAGCTTCAACCTTCTACACCGAGTCCGTCGTCGACCTCGACATCGAGGAGCCAAGAGCCCGTGTCTTCCTCAACACCGGCTCCAGCGAGGACAAGCTCGACGGCTGGTACCTCGATAGCGACACCACCCGCCATATGACAGGCCATTGCAAGCTATTCACCAACCTCGACTACAAAGATAGAGGCACGGTGAAGTTCGGCGATGCGTCAAAGGTGGAGATTCATGGCGTCGGCTCCATCATCTTTGAGGCGAAGACCGGCGAGCACCGGGTGCTTCATGGCGTCTACTACATCCCGGCGCCTGTAATTCTATCATGAGCCTCGGCCAGCTGGATGAAGGTGGCTCAAAGGTGGAGATCGACAAGGGCGTGTTGAGGATTTGGGATCAGCGCGGCTGGCTTTTGGTCAATGTCCGCCGTGGTGCTAATCGCCTCTACTCCCTCCACCTTGAGATGGCTCGGCCACTCTGCCTCGCCGCGCGCAAGGATGACGAAGCGTGGCAATGGCACAAGGGCTATGGTCATCTCCACTTCAACACGCTACAAGGAGGACATGGTGTGCGGATTGCCGGTGATCAAGCACATCGGGCAGTCCTGCGACACCTGCGTCATCACTAAGCAGAGGAGGGCCCCATTCCTGGCTGAAGCCTAGTACCACTGGCAGGAGCTGCTCGAGCTAGTTCACGGCGACCTATGCTGTCCCGTGACACCGGTGACTCTCGGCAGTAGGCGCTACTTCCTATTGCTGGTGGACGATGCCACTCGGTACATGTGGGTGGCCCTCCTAACGACCAAGGACGCTGTTGCGGACGCCATCAAGCATGTGCAAGCAATGGCGGAGAAGGGGAGTGGGCGCAAGCTCCAAGTGCTACGCACCGACAACGGCCGGGAGTTCATCGTCGTGGAGTTCGCCGTCTACTGCATGGATGAAGGCAGCCAGCGCCACTTCACTGCCCCTTACTCGTCGCAGCAGAACGGGGTCATGGAGAGAAGGAATCAGACAGTGGTGGCCATGGCTCGGGCATTGCTGAAGCAGAGGGGCATGCCAACCAAGTACTGGGGGAAAGCGGTGGTGACCGTAGTGCATCTGCTGAACCAATCGCCGATGAAGAGCTTGCAGGGCAAGACCCCGTACGAGGCGTGGCATGGAAGGACGTAGGCGATCACTCATCTGCGCACGTTCAGCTGCCTTACATTCGCCAAGGAGCTAAACCAAGTGAAGAAGCTTTACGATCGCAGCCGGCCTGGTGTCTTCATCGGGTACGCTGAGGGCGCCAAGGCATACCGCGCCCTCGATCCGGAGACCCAGCGCGTGAGTGTGACGTGCGATATCATCTTCGACGAAGGCCACAGCTGGGACTGGACTAAGGTGGGAGAGAGCTCGGCATCGGCGGTGGAAGAGTTCACTGTCGAGTACCTATGGAGTGGAGGAGCTGGGGGAGCACAAGGTGAGCTTCCATTGACATTCCTAGCTCCACCGCACTCACCATCACCAGCTCTGAGGGAGTCCGGAAACACAACGGCACCAACTGCTACTCCACCTCTGCTCTAGCCGGCTTCACCAACGGTGCCATCGACCACGGCATCACTCGCTTCCCCCACTGTCACATCGCCGCCCGCTGATCAACCCCCGGTCGAGCTCGCCACACCACTAGAGCACGACGAGGATCGTCTGGACGTGTTCTATGACGACGAGCCTCTTCGCTGTCGCACAGTGACGAACATCATCGGCGATGGGACTCCACTGGGGCTGGCGCCGCGCCTCTTCGCCTAGCTGCACCTGACTCGCACGGCGAGCCAACTACCTACGCTGAGGCGCAAGGCGACCCAGCTTGGCAAGAGGCAATGGAGCAGGAGCTCCAGTCTGTGGAGAGGAACAAGACATGGGAGCTTGTTGATCCGCCTGCTGATCACTGGCCGATCACATTGAAGAAGGACGAGAAGGGGGCGGTGACCAAGCATAAGGCACGGCTGGTGGCACGCGGCTTTGTCCAGCAAGAAGGCGTCGACTACAATGATGCTTTCGCTCTGGTGGCGCGCATGGAGTCGGTCCGCGTCTTCCTCGCGCTGGCAGCCCAAGAAGGATGGCGGGTGCACCACATGGACGTGAAGTCCGCGTTCCTCAATGGCGATCTCAAGGAAGAGGTGTACGTGCATCAGCCACCTGGCTTCGCCGTCAGAAGGAAGAAAAGGTGTATCGCCTGCGCAAGGCCCTCTATGGTCTGCGGCAGGCGCCGCGCGCCTGGAACACGAAGTTGGACGCCTTGCTCAAGGCGATGGGCTTCCACTAGAGCGTGCACGAGACGATGGTGTATCAGCGGGGCAGCGGGCGCACTGTCCTGCTCGTCGGCATCTACGTCGACGATCTGATCATCACCGCCGCTGAGGAGGAAGAAGTGGAGAAGTTCAAGGCGCAGATGAAGGAGAAGTTCGACATGAGCGACCTCGGCCTTCTCTGCTTCTACCTTGGCGTCGAGGTGTGCTAGGATGCCAGCAGCATCACCCTCCGCCAAGCTCACTACGCCAAGCGGATCCTCGAGCTCGGCGAGATGGCTGGATGCAACCCAGCACACACGCCAATCGAGGAAAAGCTCAGGCTCAGCCGTCACAGCACGGCGGAGGAGGTGGACTCCATGCACTACCGGCGGCTTGTCGACAGCCTCCGGTACCTGGTGCACACCCGGCCGGACTTGGCGTTCGCGGTCGGATACGTGAGCTGATTCATGGAACGGCCCACGGTGGAGCACCTGCAAGCTGTGAAAGCGTGTTCTTCACTACGTGGCCGGGACCCTAGACTACGGTCTACACTACAAGAGGGCTCCCAGCATGGCACGCTTTGTCGGCTACTGCGACAGTGACCTCGCCGGTGACATCGACACAAGCAAGAGCACCAGTGGAACTATGTTCTTTCTAGGTGACTGCTTGGTCAGCTGGCAGTCCATCAAGCAGAAGGTTGTGGCATTGTCAAGCTGCGAGGCAGAGTACATCGCCGCCACCACTATAGCAACACAAGCTCTGTGGCTGTCCAGGTTGTTCGGGGAGCTTCTTGGTAGAAAGGTTGATGTGGTGGAGTTGAAAGTGGACAGCAAGTCCGCTCTAGCTCTGGCCAAGAACCCAGTCTTCCATGACAGGAGCAAACACATTCAGATCAAGTACCATTTCATCAGGGATTGCTTGGAGGATGGGAGCATCAAGGCCAACCACATCGCCACTACTGATCAGCTGGCAGACATACTCACCAAGTCACTGGGCAAGGCCAAGTTCCAGGAGATGAGGAGGAGAATTGGTCTGAAGCAGATCACTCAACACTAGGCTTAGGTGGAGATTGATAGTTAAGCCTAGCTGCTTGTATCTTACTTTCCTGTTTTTACTATTCACTGTCTAAGTGTTTTCGGGTGGCTTAGCACCCAAGTTTGGTATCTGCTTTATGCAGCAAAATATGCTAGAGTAGGTAAGAGTAGGAAAAGCCACTTTGCTATATAAGCAGTGGCAGACCATCTTGTATTCCAAGTCTCGCAATTTTTAGTTTCAATCCAAGCGGCCTAGTGGCCAAGCTGCCCTCTGGGCTTACCCAAATCTGAGATCCATTTTCATGTCTGGGCAACACCATGTAATGTTATTCAACTTAGCACTTAGAAGTCCTTTTCTCTGTTGCTTTTCCCCTCTATATGTAATATACTTGAAATAATATTGTTTTCCAGTCTCAAATAATTGAGGCGCTTGGAGCTACTGTTGAACGAGTGCACCCTGTTTCAATAACTCACAGAGACCATTTTGTCAACATTGCCAGAAGAAGGGCTTTAGAAGCAAACAAATTAGCAGCAGCACAGAGAGAAACAAACGAGAAACAAATTAATGGTTTATCACATGTCGGTTCTAAGATGATGGATGACAAGTTAACAGCTATGCAGAGAGTCAAACAACAACAACAACAACAACAAAGCCTTTAAGTCCCAAATAAGTTGGGGTAGGCTAGAGTTGAAACACAGCAGAAGAGAGAGAGAGAGAGTCAAACAAGATGCAAAATAATGATCCAGCACATGTCAGTACTGAAATTCCACACCGTGGGAAATGTGATGTGAATTCTGATTCAAAGGGAAGTTTTTTTGCTGACCAGTTTGAGAATATGGCAAACTATCGAGCACATTATGAATGGACTGGTCCTGAGATATGGAAACAGACTAAAGGGAACCTGCATGCCTTTGTTGCAGCAGCTGGTACTGGTGGTACAATTGCTGGAGTCTCACGATATCTTAAGGTTAGATGCTTATTCATTTTTTGTTTCATATATTTTATCCTAGATAAACATCTTTTATGACTATGGTACCCCTTATTTAGGAAAAGAACAGGAGCATCAAATGCTTTTTAATGGACCTTCCCGGATCTGGTCTGTTCAATAAGGTTACCAGAGGGGTGATGTACACAAAAGAGGAGGCCGAGGGAAAACGGCTTAAGAACCCTTTCGATACTATTACTGAAGGAATTGGAATCAATAGGGTTACTAAAAATTTCATTATGGCGGAACTGGATGGAGCTTATCGAGGATCGGATAGGGAAGCTGTTGAGATGTCAAGGTACATGGTTACATAGTGAAGTTTTTGTTGTTATTTAGAAGTTTTGATCTGTAATAACAATAAGCGTGCATAAGTTAGCCCAGCATCACAATATTTGTTCAGTACAGTATAATCTGTTGGCTGGCATATTAGACTAAGAACATTTTTTCCTTCTTTTATTGCATTCCACTTCTCTTCACTTGTTGCATTCTGCCTTTATCTTGTCACAACAATGTTATTGGTCTTGTGATGCTTCCCTGAAACTGGAATTCCTCTTGATATTAGTTTTGGACTTTTTGAGTTCTCATCATGTCTTATGCGGCACTTCCAACTTCAATGGAAGCCTTAATCAACTGTCGGATTAAGCATTTTTAGAAACATAATCAGTGTTATCCACATCTCATATTTAAGATATTTTGAGCAATGAAGGGAAGTCTATTTTCATAGTTAGCAGATAGTTCTCCAGTACTTCATCTTACAAAATTGTAAGCGAAAATCCAGACTAACTGACCCCAATTTATTTCGAACATAATTTAGGTTCTTGCTGAGAAACGATGGACTATTTGTTGGGAGTTCTTCAGCCATGAATTGCGTTGGCGCTGTAGGAGTTGCTCAAGATTTGGGTCCAGGGCATACAATTGTGACAATTCTTTGTGACAGTGGGATGAGGCATCTAAGCAAGTTCTTCAATGAGCAGTATTTGGCTGATCATGGATTGACACCAACAGCTACTGGTCTGGAATTTCTTGATAAATGAGCAAATTTCACCGGGAACTTTCAATTTCGGTGAAGTTGGCATGCTCCCTGTGACTGCGATGATACCTTGACACAGGGTGAATGCTGAATAGGTCAAAGCATGAAAATATGCCATACAGTTTGTAAACCCTAATGGATGAAGCATTGATGTATGCTAAGTACTAATTGTAGTCCAGTAGGAATTGCCATTAGATAGGATTGGGATAGCCAGTGTTTTGGTTCTTGTTGTTTTGATATATTTCTATTGAGGCTGTTACCAGTTAGAATGCTGCACCGGGCATCTTTGCTGCAAACAATTGCAATATCTGCATTTTTTGTTAAAAAAGTTTCAAGAACAATTCACCCGTTTTGATCTTTTGTGTTGTATATTGGCCATGACATCACTCTGCTTATATACTCTAGTTTATGTTGGTCTGTTTTTTCATTTTGCCTCACTTCGCGTTGCTGGATGACAATAGTTCAGCTGATCAAAGATCTAGCCCAGCATATCCCTCCTTCCATATCAGTCTGCTGATTAAGTTTTGCTTCCCCCATTTGCTTGTCAATATCTAGTTGCCAAACATTTGTTCTGAAAACACTGTGGCTCTTGCTTCCATGCATACTTGTAATATGCTGACATTGATGTTCAATAGGAGTTACCACTTTCTCAATAAACGGAGTTCAAACTGTTGTTGCTATTTGAGCTTCGGGGCGGAAGGAATAGTCGAATAGAAAAGGATCTTCAGAAATTGAAGGAAGCAATTGAGCATCTATCTACCTGCAGAAATTTGTCGGGTATCGGAGAACACATGCAGCTTACACAGAAAATAATCCTATGTACGCGCTAGAGTAACCAGTTTACACAGTCACTAGTTCTGATGCCGCCTTCGCCTCCAGCCAGTGCTTGGCAGCAACGCTCGTCGTCAAGAATCAGCCGGCCTTGTCGGGTGCCTCGTGGAACGGCGCGTCAAGCTCCTTCAGATGCGCCTCGAACATGACAGCCAGCCCTCTGTCCGTGTACGTATTCTTCCCCTGCCCCGTGTGGATTCCAAGCAGCGGCGGCAGCCCCTCACCGCTGCTCTGCAGCGACGTATACAGATCGTTAATCCAGACGTGCAACGTGGTCAGTGCCGCGCCAACGGAGAGGCCCCTGAGGTGTAGCGACCACTGCGTCTGGGTCCTCGTCTGGATGTTGGTGTAGATGCCGAGTTGCTGTGCGGCGTCCAGGAGCACGCAGGCCTTATCTATCTGGTTCAGGTTCACGCATAAGTCCATCAGACAGTTGCAGTAAGGCATCTTCACCACGCCGCGGGAGCTGCCCAGCAGTTCACTGGCTGCTTCTCTGAAAGATTCAGGGGATGAGCTCCTGTCCAACAGGAGCTTTACCACGGCACCAAGCTGGGCATTGCTCGTCTCAATGCAGCTGATCACCTTGCCCAGTTCTTCCGCTGGTGTGTTCACCGCCACACTGAGAAGGCAGCCACAGAATCTGTCATCGGGGATGATACCGAGGTCCTGGAGCATGCCAAATGACCTGACCACATCGTCAGTGCGCCCCACCTTGCCATAGCATCGGATGAGTGAGGTCAGGACAAAGATATTTGGCTTGAAGCCGGCCTCCACCATTTCATTCAGTATGCCCTCTGCACCCAGGACATTGGCAGTGGATGAATACAGCGTCACCATTGATGAGTAGCTCCAGCTGTCAGGCTTGGAACGGGCATCCATGGACGCCTTCATGTCTCTGGAGATCTCCTCAGCCTCAATGCCTCATCGACATAGCCAATGTCGGCACACATGGACAGAAGCATGTTGTACAGCATCACGTCGATGTCCATTGCCTCATCCTTCATCAGTCGGTACATGGCCATGGCATCCTCGCCATAGCGTGCCCTGGTGTATGCATGCAGGAGACAACAATAGGTCGCCCTGCTGGGCTGCACCTACTGGTCAACCATCTCCCTGTGGATGGTTTTCACCACCCAAGGTCGCAATGCGCGGCCCATGGCATCCAACATTGTGTTGTACACGACCAGGTTTGGTTTCACGCCGGTTGCCTTCATTTCCTCGAACACGTTGAGTGCACCGTCGAAGTTGCCACTGGTTGAATGTACCTTGATCACCGTAGAGCAGATCACAGGGTCCAGCTGCCATTTCTCCGCGCCAGCGCGATCGTACAAGCGGAGGGCCGCCTCGGAGTTCCCAGCGCGGCCGTACGCGTCGATCACCGCAGAGTATGTGAGCATGTCCGGCGAGCACCCGAACTCCGGCATCTTGTCGAACCACTCGACGGCCTTGCTGTGTAGGCCGCAGGCGCGCGCGCAGCTGATGACAGTCGAGAAGGTGGCGTTGTTGGGCTGCACGCCGTCCCGCAGCATCTCTGCCCATAGCGCCTCGGTCTCGCTCCAGTGCCGCTTCTTGCGCAGCAGCTTGAGCACGACGTTGTAGAGGATGACCTTCTTCCGGACCTTGGCGTTCCCCAGGAACCAGCGGAGAGCCAGCACGGCGGTCTCCGGCCTGGTGGCGGCAGCCGTGTTAAGCACGATGACGGCGTCCTGCTCGTAGGGAGCCTCGGGGAAGGCGGCCTCAAGCGCGGCCTCTACGGCGGCGGAGGCAAGACGCGCGCGGCGGCCAGACCCGGCACGCGCGCGTGCGACGTCGGCGGCGCGCGGGCTGTTGGGGTTGACCCAGAGGAACCTCGTGGTGTTGCTGCTGGGATTTGTGCCATTTGGGCTGGAATCAGATGGAGGCGCCGGGTCTTGAGGTTGGGGAGGCGTGTCCTGGACGGAGACGTGAGCAGCGACAGGGGAGGAGGGATTCTTAGGGTTAAAGGAGGCGGAAATTGGCCGGTGAGGCCATGAGGGTAGTAGGGAGGACGGCGAGCGGCACAGAGGCAGGGAAGCCATGGATTCCTGCGCCCCCTATGGAGTGGATTGGGGGTGGGAGAGGCCGGGACGGGAGCGTGACAAACAAGTGACGACGCAGCGGCGCCTCTCTGTCCGTCAGTTCATGGGACCCACATGTCAGCGAGCGTTGGGGTGGAAGAGGATCTCAAGAGAGAGGGCGTGTGACGGTGTGAGAAGGATGGATCGCTCTTCCCGCCGCTCTGCTCCACCCTGGAGTCCAGACTCTGACTCTGCAACTGCAAGTCTGCAACTGGAGCCCGATTAAATTCGTAACGCCGCCAATCCACGGAACGGCGCTGCCGCCAGCCCATCCCCGACTCCCAACATCACCGCCGAGCGCCGAGCGCTTGCCTCTCGGCGCTTAACCGCGCCACGAGCTCCCGTCCTCCCTCGTTCCACCGCCGTGGCGGCGAGATCATCGGTCGCTTCGGCGCAATCGCGCATGGCCCTACCGTCGCTTGCGGTGCGGTGCGGCCGCCACTTCGTGCTGCTGCGCGCACCGCTGCCGGAGGGAGGTGGATGGCGCTTCGCGGGATCTAGATGATGGGTGGGTTTCAATCTGGCGGCGAATGCAGCCGTATCATCAGCTTGCTCGACGGCGCGCCCCAGGTGTTCGACGAAGCGCAGCGGTTGCTTCTCCCGAACATCGATCGTGTCCTAGAGTCTCGCAGTGCTCCTTACTGGTCTACCCAGAATCCCGGAGTGGCGGGTAGGTGTTTTGGTGAGCTCTGATGATACTGTGATCATATTCAGCATAAGGTTATTTCTAGCACACGATGCTCAACGCAGGTAATTATAGACTCAATCCTCCCCTTTTGTTGTGGGTATAATGCAATGACGTGGGAGCTCATAACTGATTATTAGTCAACAATTCAAACTGCGATTAATTAAACAAGATATTGAGATAGTATGCTTCTTTCGGAATGCAATAGAAGATATGTTTCAAATTCATGAACAACTAACTCTTTCATTTATTGTCATGTGCCCTTTGTTTTCCTCAAGTTTGGGCACAAACCAAGCAGGTAACTGTCACAACATGTAGAAATGACAACGGTTGCACCCAAGGATGATTATTTGACATTGTAATTTGTAAATAGTTGATGTTCCACTTGTTGTGCTGATTGCTGAGGTTCTGTCGAATTGGTTCATCTACAGGTTATGACTCCTGATATTTAGATGTAGGTTCATCGAAAAATCTATGTGAATTATATTTGCTGGTTAATGGAAACATGAAACATATACTTATTTTTTACGCCTGTAATTTGCAATGCCTTCCATCTTGAATTTTCATTTTCTCTTTCAGATTTAAGCACATCATCCACCCACATATTGTGATATGATATTGCAGCGACAAGTGGCGACCCGATATTGCTGCACCTATTATTCTTGTTCTGTCATACTGGAGCATTGCTAGAAAGCAACTTTAGTGGATTAAGTACCTATCAACTACTGAAATTCTTGCGACAGGCTCCACCTTGAAGTTAAGAGTATGTCACTACCATTCAACCTGCTACTTGACCAACTGTGCTGACTTTTTCATTAGAGATTAATCTTGTGTATTATGACAACAGTTTAGATACAGTGCACAGGTTTGTAATAACATGTAAACAAAACTAATAAGCCTAAAAGGAGCATTGAGGTTACCTTGGATTTCTTTAATTCATAATTTTGATTTGGATCTTTGAGTAGTATCAGCAGGTGCATATATTGCTGCTGCTAACTAACCTTACATACATCATCTAGCATGATTCAACTGTGACCCTTCTTGTCATGCTCGGCCACTTCTATGATTGAACTTCTCACACCTAACCAAATTATTAAAGAAACAAAGCAAAAAAATGTAAACCGAATGTTTATACCAACTTCTTGCAAACATCATATTGTAGATTCTCTCAGAAATATGGTCTGACGATTTATTTGATTAGTTTTTATATTCATTCTAATTGGCTCCATATGCTTGAAGGAACAAAATGTAGTAAGAAGGAAATGCTTGTAAAACATGTCAAAGAAGACACACAAGTACACTGTAGGCAGCCATATTGAGCCAGACATTCTTTATTTTCTTCTGAAGTATTTGCAGTATGCAGTATTGTGTAAGAACCCAAACCAATCATATAGGTGGTCCATTAGTAGCTTCATTGCTCAAACACTATTTGATTTTCACTGCTGCTACAGAACCACAAGCAAGAGTCATGAAACAATTAGTACAATGAGTAGGGATAAGTAAGATGGGAAGGGGAAGCGACGAGTGGAACATGCTACTCTTGTTTATTGGCCCATGTTCCAGTTCTGATGATTTCTTTCAATGATGTTTGGCAACCCAACGAGCTACAGTTGTGAAACTTCTAGTTCAATAGCGTATTTCAGTTTCCAAGTGCTTAATAGTTTTTCTTGTATTGGTACTCGAGGAATGCAGCTAAATGATGGAAAACTACACCTGCTTGAATCTGGAAACCTGTATCAGTATGTGTTCAGCATCCCACCAATGGATTTCCATAGGAGTTTTCTCCCAGATCATGGTGATGTTTTTCTTTGGTGCACTTTTGGAACATAGAAGTCACGGTTGGTGAGTAAGAAGGTGTTTCCTTATTTCTTGAAACCTAGAATGATATATATGCTTGGATTTTCTTGAACTGCTTTGTATCTTCTTTGGAAAAAATCATATTTGCATCACTTGGATTTTTGCATGTTAAATAACTTCCAGATCAACTCTTTCTGCCTCTATGTAGTATGTTGAGAGCTGACGTTGCATTATTCTGTATGCAATCTTGAATATAGTCACTTCAGTCACATCCAAGCATGAACTCATGTTTATCATGGATATTGATTGCTTCAAAGAGTGGAAACATCATCACATGCTCTGTACATCTTTAACTGCTCTCCTGGAGATAGAATGTCAGCTTATTCGGTCAGTGAAGTCCCCTTTTTCTTTTTTACATTGGTGACAATAACTTTATATCAGCATGATAAATGAAACATTCAATCATGTTCCCTAATAATGTGGGCCATGATCATCCTAAAAGTTGTTCCATCAAGTTGATATTATTCTTATTTAAAAAAGTTGATATTATTCTTGTTTAGTCCATTTATAGTAGTACTAAGGGCCTATTTGGTAGAGATTCACCACTAAAAAAGTGAATCTGGAACTCGGATTCACCATGGATCAGTTTCACCGTGGATCCGAGATCCACCAAGAAGACTGTTTGGCAACGCTGCAGCTCTAGATCCACGCAGGGACATTTTCGTTGGAATGGCTAGATTTGCCCTTGGCCTCTAGCTTTCTCTATGTCTCGCTGCCACCTGGACCCACGCGTTAGGAGTAAAGAAACACGACTTCTTCCACGAGTGCGCATGAGGCGACCCAGGGGAGCACGCGAGGCCGGGCGCGCCTGGCTGGGCGCGGGTGATCTTGCAGGGGCGAGAAGCGCAGACGGCGAGGCGGGCGAGGCGCCGCCACTGCGAGCCATGGCGAGGCAATACGAGGCCGTGCATGGCGCAGCATGCCGGGCGCCGGGCGGCGGCGGGTCAAGGCGGTCTTGGCCAGCCGAGGTCAGATTTGTGGCGGCGGACGGAAGAAGAGGTCGCAACGAGAAGAAGAACGAGACGGAAGAAAAAAAAGAACGAGAAAGAAAACGAACCGTTATCCTGTGTAACGAGTAGCAGCGGTGAGTAATTTCTCCCAAATCCACCAAACTAAGTTTGGTGGAGCACCCCCTGAGGAGATCCACGAAAATGGTGAATCCAGCCTCCATATCCACCATTTTGGTGAATTCAGATTTGGTGGATCTAGAGTTTGGGAAATTTTTGGTGGATCCAAGCTCCTGAATCCGAATCTGGTGAATCTGAATCCCTACCAAACAAGTCCTAAATGGGAAAAAAATGTTTTGGTTGTGGTTGTCATATTCGGTATTAGTCAGCTTTGCCTGTAACACAATGTGTTTGTCTGCTTAAAAAATCATAAGATCAGAAAGGGGTATTAGGTTCCATAACTGGAGAATGGAGGTACCACTCCCATCTTCAATCTTGTGTTTGCGGGCACTTAGCTATATGCTAGTACTATTTCCATATATTGTACCTGGGAGCAATATGGGCTAACCTTTTAGTTTAGGGAGATTTTGCTGCAGGACACCGCTAAAATGCATAATATGCTGATGGACACCGCCAAGACGAGAATTTGTCCAAAGACACCGCAAATTCGTGGTTCTTTGCCCAGACACACCGCACCGATTATTTTAATCACTTCTCAGATCTGCGGAGAGAGAAGGTGGGTGAAATGACTCTTTTGCCCTTGTCTTCAACCTCCGACCGGTGATTGATTTTTGCTGTAACACATTGCTGCCGCCTTTTCTTCTCCGGTGAGGTCTCGTCCTGCTCTCCAGCACCGGCGAGCCCGACACCACCTCGTGCAACGCCGTTGACTCGTGGCCACCTAGGCATCTCGTCTCCGAGAGCGGCATCCACAGACTCCATGGACGGCGTCGCCTTCCTCTCTGCTCCGGCCATCTCCAACCTTTCCTCATCCGCCATCAAGCCGTGCCACACCACGCCGCCACCAACACGGCATGCTTGGTCAAGTTGACCCGACGCTGGCCTCCCGCCCTCGCGCGCGGCACGTGCCGCCGCCAGCCCGACCCCACCACCGTCCTGCCAGCGAGCCCACACGGGCCAGCAAGCAGCGCGCTGCCAGTGCCGCCGCTCCAACCTACCATGCTGCCGGCCGGCTGCTGCTCCCCTCCAGCCGAGGCCCTCCCGCCGTCATGCGCAGCACGCGCTGACGCCGCCTCGACCCCACCGCCGTCCTGCCAGCGAGCCCGCGCGGGACCCCCCACGCCGTGCATGACCCAGCGCCGCCGCTCAGCCTTGCCGTGCTGCCGGCCAGATGGCCGGCGAGCCCGGCCGGAGCCCCTCCCTCCCACGCGCGTGAGCAGCAGCTCCTCCATGACTTCCATGGCCATGGAGTGAGGAGGAAGATGGACCTGTTGAAGTCTCGGCCCACCACG